GAGTTAAAACCCTTTCATTGTGTTCCACTGTCTACATCAGCAGTTTCATCACAAAGTTTTCACAGGTTGAAATTGAAGTAAAGAATAAAAAAAAATAACATACAAAGTTTTTCTTAAATATTTTAGCTGAAAGATTGAGTGAGTGAATGGATGGCAACATTAATCAAGACAAGAAATACTGAAACATGCGTAAGAATTAAAATAGTTTTGTTTTAAATATACTGAGTATCATATGCCAACAGTATAAGCAAGAGGAGATACCTTGAAGGCAGTTGGATAAGTGAGTCTAAAACGCAGAAGAGAATTTTGAGAAAGGGGTCTAAATTTGGAAGTCATGAGCATTTAAGTGTCATCAAGGGAACAAAATGTAAAGAAAAGATGATAAAATACATCAACATTAAAAATACCAACAAAACAACAACCATAGTGATAAAAAAACCAAAAATCATATTTAAAGTCTTCTCATCCTTCTGATTGAAAGGGGGCAAGATCTTGAATACTAATGGTAAACCCTAGGTGCAGCATTTTTAGTGACTTTGTCTCCTCTGCTGGAAGGATAATTGTTATTTGCCTCTCTTGGATTTCCCTGGTTTTTTCCTCTTGGAAAGGAAAAATAAACAAAAAGCCAACTTCATTGCCTAAGTAATAGGAATGCTTTTTTCTGGAAAGAAAGTAACCAATAAGAATTTTCCTATTCTCACATTGACAAATACAAAAATTATTTTCAAAAAGAGAATCTACAATGAGATACTTACTTTGGTACAATTCAATTAATGATGAGGAATTTGTTCTGCTTTTACTCCTTCCTGTCCCTTTGCAATAAATTACCTGGTCAATAAGAGTAATTCAAGCCACAAAAATTCAGGAATAAGCCTTAAAAGTCTCTATACTTTTGGAAGCATTGTGGCAAATTGGAGCAATGAGGAACATGGTAGTTAGACCTAGCATCACGTCTCAGTTTAAAAACCCATTAGCTATATGGCTCTTATCAAATTACCCCCCTATATACTTTGGTTTTGTAATCTGATGGTAATTCCTATAGGTTGGTGCAAAAGTCATTGTGGCTTGTTTATGTGGCATGTCACATTTATTGATTTGCATATGTTGAACCAGCCTTGCATCCCAGAACAAAGCTTACTTGGTCATGGTGTGTTGACTTTTTAATGTGCTACTGGATTCAGATTGTTAATAGTTTGTAGAGGATTTTTTATGTCTTAGTTCATCAGGGATATTGGCCTGCAGTTTTCTTTTTTCATGTGTCTCTACCAAATTTTCATATCAAGCTATTGCTGGCTTCATAGAATAAGTTAAGGAAGAGCTCCTCTTCCTCAATTGTTTGGAATAGTTTCCAGTAGGACTGGTACCGTTCTTCTGTGTATGTCTCGTAGAATTCAGCTGTGCGTCCATCCAGTCCGGTGCTTTTGTTGTTGTTGTTGTTGTTGTTGTTAGTAGATCTTTCATTACTGATTCATCTGATTTGTCTATTCCTATAAATTTTCTAATTTGTGTGCATAGAGTTGTTCATAGTATTCTTTGATGATTTTTTTTATATTTCTGTGGGATTAGTTGTAATGTCATCTTCGTCATTTCTGAGTGCACTTATTTGGATCATCTCTCTTTTTTTCTTTTATTAATCTAGCTAGCAGTCTATCAGTCTTCTTTATTTTTCTGAAAACCCAACTTGGTTTCATTGATCTTTTGTATGGGTTTTTGCATCTCAACTTCATTTAGTTCTTATCTAATTTTAGTTATTTATTTTCTTCTACTAACTTTGGGATTGATTTATTCTTTTCTTTCTAGTTCCTTTAGATGCAGTTAGATTGTTAATTTGAGATTCTCACAACTACTTGATGAAGACATTTAGCACTATAAACTTTCCTCTCAACACTGCTTTAGCTGCATCCCAGAGACTTTAGTAATTTGTATACCTGTTTTTATTCATTTCAAAGAATGTTCTGATTCTGCCTCAATTTTGATATTCACCCAGGAGTTATTCAGGAGGAAACTGTTTAATTTCCATGTATTTGTGTAGTTTAGAGTGATCTTCTTGTTATTGATTTATATTTTTAATGCACTATAGTCTGAGAGTGTGCTTGGTATGATTTTATTTTTTTAATTTATGAGGACTTGTTTTATGACCAAGCGTGTGGTTGATCTTAGAATATGTTTTTTGTATAGATGAGAAGAATGTATGTTCTGTGGTTGTAATTTAATTTCTTATAACATGTTGTTACTAGAATACCAGATGAAACACACCAGCAAATATGTCCTCAGATAAACTGAGTAACTTGAGGAAAATTTTTTAATGATGCTACTAAGACAAATAGTTCATTAACCTGTAATGTGAAATCTGTAGGTCTATAGTAACTCAAACCCTAATGGAAATAGCTCTGAACTAAAAACAAGGAAACCAGGCCCAGGTTTATCACTGTTTTACCTCACAATCTTGTATAAGGGTTTACTTGTCTGTTCTTCAATTTCTTCATATTTAAAATGGAGAAATCCTAATCCTAGCTCTAGCCCTTTTCATGTTTCATGAAGCTGTTGGGAAGATATCATGGAGTAATATTTAAAGCATCTGGAGCCTATTTTAGTGAGCTACATAATTTTTTAAGGACATTATTGATTTGGATAGTAAGAATATCCTGCAGGCAAATCCTGCGAGGTGCTTCAACAGACACACACGTCTACCTTCCTGTTGGCACAGCCCATGTTTGGCAGGTGTATTCCATTCCTTACAGGAAGGAATAGGTGCTTCATTGTGTTACAGAAGTCAGTACGCTTTCACAAAACTAAGTAAGTGACATTTTTCTCATTTCTGAGAGCAGATTTTCATAAATCATTCGACCTGGATAAATTGAGAATGTAGTTGATCTGGTAATTGTTGAAATATAATGAAGACATTGCAAAACATGATATTTAAGTATTTCCTCCTAATCTCTTACCTTAACAAGATATAAGAGTTCTAAATGGAAAGATGTCCTAATGTAGAAAAAGGAAACAAAAGTAAGATGAGCCTGTCTGTAAAGGAGAAGCCAGAAGAAGCACAACACAGATTCATCTCAATAATTTGGGATTCCACTGATTCTGAATTTATAGTAACAATAATAATAACTAGACAAAATAGAGCTTTTATATTGTGAAGAAGGTTTTTTCACTAGTTAGTAGTATAAGTTATATTATGGAGAAGGGATACATTTAGCCAGTTTGCAAGTAATATTTTCTGGCTTTTAACAATATATGCAAAGAAATGCTACTAATGTCTTATAATGATTTCTGCTGGGAGCTGTTTAATGGTTATTTCAAGTTACTATCAGATTTTAACAATAAACTTAAAATTTCATAGTGTAATTCTGTAATTCATACTCACATTTTTCTTTCCCCTCATCCACAACTCAAGTTAATTAAATATTGCCTTAAAGGATTCGTGTAGTCTTATGAGTCATAATATTCAGAGTGTATAAGTTAGCACTAGTTTTTAACCACTAGGGAAGGTTCAAGTATTGCAGACTAATCTGAGAATACAGTGAATTTTCTAATGACTCTTCTAGTTCAGGTATTTGTACCACTAGACTGTTTTAGTGGATATACAACATTTATGTATAGTTTGCATTTTAGAAAAGTTTGTAGTAATGAACTTAGACAAGATTTGCCTTTTTACTCTAAGATCATTACTGTGTTTCTTAGAGCAAAGTTTTTTGATGTACTGAATGATTTTGTTTTATTTTCCTGTTTTTTGTTAACAGAATTCTTGATAGATACAAAATCATCCAATAAACTTCAGCTAGTTTTCAGCATTATATGCAGTTGATTTGTCCATTCCTTACTGAAACTTCCAAATCTTCTAACCCAGCGTATATGACACTAAGAACACTCTCATTCCTTTCGTGTCTAGCTCTGTGCTGTGTTTATTTGCAGAGGACCCTCATGCATGGATCCATATAAATGAGGCAAACTGTGACGCAGACTAGACCGTGCCGCTTACCAGTCTTTGAGAGAGAAAGATTGTGTATATGAAAACTGCTAGCCATGATATTTACTTATAAGGAAGATTTCTGTGTGTATAACATCCAGCAAGATTTTTGGTTGAGGTTTTATGCTTTCAGTAAAGAAAATAAAAGAAGAAAACCAATTAATGGTCTGATTCTATCATCTTTTGTCAAGCAAAACTCTCACTGATCCACATGAATGTGACCTCCCGCTCATAGAGTAGTCTAAGAACACTGCAGAATGGACTTCTGAACTTTCGACTCTCTTTTCAATTTAATTGACTAGTTTTTAATCAACTAAAAAAATCATTTTCTTTGACGAAAAAGTCTATGTAGGTAATTTCCAGTGTATTTATGCTACTCAGAAATAAAAACTTGTTTTTTAATTAGAACAAAAAGTCTGGTTTTCTTAGTATCAAATCATTATGTATATTTAAATTATTTCCATGCTACTGTAACTTGAAATTTTTTCCACCTAGCCACATAATTTCTGGCTTTATTTTTATCAGCTGATTCTATGAAAAGATGGGAATTTAGTACCTCATAGAAGTTACACAGTATACCAACCAGTGAATCACTTATCTAACTAAGTAACAAGTGAAACATTGCTGGTATTTCTGTTTTGAAATATGTGCTTTTCTTAGGTAAAAATCAGTTTATTCTACATTTAATATGTGATCCTGTCATTGCATAGTAAATGATTCATTCACAACCTTAATACAAGTAGGTAAGTGTATTGAAGTAAGTTATCTTATTAGATGCCACTTTGTGTGGGATCTAATGCTGACATAATTCAAGGATCTGGGTTAAAGTTTGTGTCATTGCTGGTTTTTGAAACCTCAGATACTTGGCACTCTATAGCAGTGTCTTTCACAGTAATGCTTTGTTTCTTAACATGACTGTGAGGACTGCTTGGTCACAGGCAAATACTGTCCTTTATCAGCCAGGACATTCTTAACAATAATTGCCCTTTTTTTCCCCCTTCTCACCCCCATCCCAACCCCAACTTAGGTTGGAAAGGCTGGTGGATGTACTGAGAAAGAAGGTTGGAACCGGGACCATGAGGACAGTGATCTGATTGAAAAAAAACGACAGTCTGGGGAAGCGATCACATCTGGTGACCAGGCTGCTTCATTCAACACTGTGTAAACACTAAAGCCTTAACTTAGCAAACAGTTGTTAGAAGTGGGACACTCCAACCACATTCCAAGCTGAGATAAAATCAAATCACAAATGTTTAACCACTTTGCTGCTGACTTGAGTTATTTATCCAAATATATTAACTACAGACTTTTACCAATGGGTAGCTATAAGGTTACAGCTTATTTTGTAACTATTTTATATCTCAATATCTTTAATATAAATCTTTTTACTGAGAGATCATTATAGAAATATGTTAAAGTTGGTTAGTATCATATCTTCACATATGGCCCTTTCTGAATCAAAGTGCAGCAAAGTAAATATTGTCTAAGCTTTAATCCACTGTGTTAGGTCAAAACTTCAAATACATGCATTTTTCAATATTTCTTAACTGATGAGAGAGGCCTAAACATGAGTGTGTAGTCTTCCTTCAATGCATGTATGTAATCTTTGTTAGTATTAAAAGATATTAAATATAGATGCCATGAATTAAATGTATAATTTGTTTAATAAGAGATGGATATATTAAAATTACATTCATCAAGGCATGATTTTTGTTTCACTATAAATAATGCAAACTATTTCAATAAAAAGAGCAGACTGTTAATGTGTACTTATAAATTCACATTGTCAGTATTTTTTAATGTTGGGTCTGAATAATTATCTAAATTCTACTTGAACTATAAATCTCTGTCATTTTTGCTTGAAAATTAGCATGCCTCTGTCTTAAAAGAACAGAGACCATCAAACCTGTTAAGTATTCGTATTGTTTATCTTTTTTTTAATTGCCATTTGATTTTTGTTGTGGAGGAGGGGGATCTAATACATAATATGCAATAAAATTATAATGTAGAAATATAAGAATTCAGAAAAAAGTAAACTTGCCATTTGGTTGAGGTTACCTGGTTTTTATTTTATTTCAGAAATAAGATCATTACAGCATAGCAGTCATATGAAGTTATGAATAGAACTGAGATTTTTATGTAATTAGCTATAGAGAAAATACTTTCATATTTTTAGATTAGACAGATGAAAGACCAAGAGGAAATGACTGTGCCTGGAACAGAATGAAATAGACAAGTCGCGATTTAATTAGTGAAAATTTTGTAGGCAAGTAAAATTTTTTTCTAAGTCTATATATTCTTAATTCATCTTTAAGATTGAGCTAAATTATCTACCATTGCCTATTTACAGGATAAGTACATTCAGGACAATTTATTGCACCATTCTTTCATATACTATAGTAGATTATCCATTTGAATTTTGTTTTACTCCACAGGAAAATGTAAGCTACTTTGTCATAGGTGACAAAAGAATCATAGTACTAACAAACTCTATTTCTTCCTTATTAAATCTGTATCCATTGAAGTACCTTTTTTAACTATGAGAATTAGAAAATAAGGGACAACAGAGGTTAAAACCAACTAATTTAATTTGCTCTATAGTCCTAAAGATAATTACATCCTCTCATAGACCAATGACTCTATAATAGAGAAATATGTAATGATTTAGTCATGCATGCAGTTTTTGTTTCTGGGCTCTATTTGAAACGTGTAACAGCTCCCTATGTGAAGAAAGAGCATCTTTAAAGTCATCTGGGAGGTGCAGGTAAGTAATGAGAAAGTTTTTGTCACAAAATAGTCCATTCCTGATCTCACTTAAAATAAGTCACAAGTAAACTTGAATTTTCAGTTTAATCCTGAAAACAGATGAACTTTTCTCGAGTTATTTTGTCTGAGTTTTTAGAAGACACAAAATATAGTATAAAGACATTTCACGATTTCCAAACAAATATTTCTACACTTAAATGATCAAATTAGAATAACCAATTCCTATAATTAAGATGCAGAACTTTTATAGAATATGATATTATAAAGTTAAATTTGCAAAATAATTGTAACATCCACTGTTGTTCAGTATAGGTAATCTCCCAAAAATATCACATCCTCTTGAAAATGAGTTGTCTACAAAATTTCAAGTTCAAAGTATTACAGCCAAATATTATCTTAATTTCTTACACTTAAAAGTGTCCATCAGCAGTGTGTCAGATGGTCTTTATATATTTTTTCTGTATGAATGAATAGCCTTGCCTACTGAAGATAGGTTCTCTATATATTCAACAATAATGCAACTTTAGAAGTATTCCACACTGCTGAGAAATGTTGCTTTGAGTTTGTTTTATACATCATCTACTAAATCCTATAGTAACATGAGAATTTACTTCTTCTTGTAAAAATAAGTAATTTAGAGGAAAGGCAGAAATGCTAATACTAACATTTGTAGCACTTGATTTACAAAGTCGTTTTACATCTGTTTTTCTTTTCATTTGATCCTGTCAACAATCATCATAATAATAAATTATATATAACCCATATAATAATCATGGTGATGATAATTTTAGTATTACTGTCATTATAATTATTATTATATTCATTCTACAGATGAGGAAACAGACTCAGGAAGTCTTGAAATTTGCCAAGGACTGGCTGGGACCTGGAACTAAGATCTTATAACCACATTCCATGTAACTATGAGTCTGTAAACCTCTCTGTAAGAAAAAAATTTCAAAGTAAAGATTTTAACTCTTGCAATTTATGTTGTTATAGTACCATTTCTTTCACATACTACATGCGAATTCCTTAGTAATCAAAAGATTGTACACATTTCTTTCAATGAAGTACAATAATGTGAACTGCATGTGTAAACAGCATCACATTATTACCACCTCTCTGTGGTATTATAGTGCCAGTAGGCTTTGCCTCAGCCTTCACTAATTAGGAATATTGTGACAATTCATTCCTAATAAAACATATCATGAGTCTCTTTGTACTATTTTTAATTTGGCCTGATGCTAAAACCTATCAGCTTAGTTTTATAACATGGTAGTCTAAACTTCAAGCCTTGCTGTATCTCCTAGAACAATTTAGAGCTAAAACCAGTTATAAGCAAAGTTATTGGTCATAAGCAAGGTATAAGCAGTTAAAGCAAAGTTATTATTAATATATGATAATTTAAAATTTTATAAATAAGTTAGAAATTATTAATGTATTTTAAATACTTTATGGAATAAAATATTTTGCTTATTTTTTCAATGATAAAGTTGATCCTTTGTATATTTCCTTATTCAAATAAACTCAGTCATCATCTTATCAGGTCACTTATTTATATAATTAGTTTATTTTATTAAAAAGCTAGAATATTAAAGTGTATACTTTTAATATTGAATATAGTTTCATAGAAAAACATTTTATATGTATTATTCTTAAAGATCACAATTATTTTTAAAGTTTCTATTTTAAAATAGTTGTGATTAATAAGGCATTGTATGATGAAATAGCCATGGCTCATACATTTTTGTCTTTTCACATATGATGTGTTTGGAACCCACAATTTTTACTGATTTTATTGTGTTGTTGGTAACTAGTATTTACAGCTAACCTATCTATTCATATTTTACATATATATGCATGCACACACACTGATACATTTACCTTTTTAAAAAATCATTTATAAATGAACTGTTAGGCTCCGGTGATTTCAGTATTTTGTTCATGTTTTATTGGAAATGCACGTGGTTTCTTAGGCTTTTAAACAAATACATGGAATGGTTGAGAGATTTATTTTGCTCGTGCTTAGCTAAATATGTCATCTCTAGAAAAGATGTGGTTTGTTTTGGCACTGTTTTAAAAACTCAAATATTTTAAGCATTTGTTAAGTTGGAGCTTGCACATTTAAACTAGCAGCATACGTTCCAGGAGAGCATCTCAAGTTACCAAATTTTTTGTAATCCTTTTACTAGAATAATCTTTTTTGAAAAGGTTTTCTTGTGCTCGCTTCGGCAGCATATATACTGAAATTAGAAAAAAAAAACTTTTTTATTACATGTTTTAGTGTAAGTTAAGTTAAACTTCTAAAAGTTGAATTATTTAATGTAAGACTTCATAAATAGAATTTGACAATGATAAATGTGTATTTTTGAGAATCATTAAAATATTGTATATAATGATATTCCTTTGCAGAAGTCTTTATATGCTTAATTTTTAATCTAATTGTCTTCTAAATATAGTTTTGCTGTATGCTAGTATTTTAGAAGCCACCAATTTCTGGACTATCTGATTATTAACAAAGATGTATTTTAATGCACAAGCTCAAATGTCTAAAATATATATTTATTTTGTATTCAAATAAAATCCCCTATTGCAAATCGTATACATAGTTCAATGCAATTCTTATACATCGATCTTAATCAAATGTATAAATGTACAATCCTGAAGACAGTGTACTAGATATGCAGTATAAAATATATTGCAGTAAGGAAACAGATTAAGTTCACTGTCAAACTGTCTGACTTCCTTAACAAATTTAATAAAGATAAATGTCAATATGAACAAATTTGTTAGGCACCTTAGGAATCTTTCAAAACTATTTAGATATAAAATAAAATTATAGCAATAAAATATTAAAGAGAAATATCATTTTTAGTGAATATGGTTAGAAAGAACCTAAGAGGGGAGATCAAATTATTTTAATTAAAAAATAATAGACTGACTCAAATCTACCATAAAGCACCTCTACTCACTTTGGAATATGTACGTGGAATTTTGCTGTCAATAGCTGAAACCTAAAAACACTGTTTCTGTTGCATTTGATTATTCAATCATGATAAGGTAAATGTAAACAGACTATGTAGCACTGTTATCACCTGGAGTGAACTTAGAATTTAGTACATGAGTACAAGAGGAATGCAGTGGAAGTAGGCAGTAGGTGTCTTTGGGGCAAAAATTCTATAAACTGGTAATATCTAAACTATCACATTACTTTGCTAAATTATTGTTTCATGATGTATGACCTTTGTGATTTGTCACACATTTTACTTCTACATATGCACGTAATTGTAACTTTTTTAACTTTAAAAAGTAATTATATTTAAGAAAATTTTTAAAATAAGAATGAACATATGTGATATTTACTTTCGTATTTACCATTTCTAGCGCCCTTATTTTCTTTGCATACATCCATGTATCCACCTGTTACCATTTTCCTTCTGCCCAAAGTATTTATCATCTATACTAGTGAAGAACTGTTGGTTCAACTTTTGTATGTCTGAAAATGTGACTCTTTTTCTGCCTTCATTCTGTGAAAAAAATGCTGCATATAGAATTTGAGGTTTACAGGGTTTTGTGGATTTTTTTCAGTATTTTAAAGACGTTGCGCTAATATTTCTGGTTTGCTTTGTTCCTGCTGTCATTCTTATTTGTATTTTCTGTACATTATGTGTCCTCTAGCTGCTTTAAAGATTTTCCCTTTGTCACTTGTTTTAATCAATTTGATTATGATGTGTAGTGTCGATTTCTGCATGTTTTTGTGCCTGTGGTTTGCTGAACTTCTTGGATCCACGTTTGCAGTCTTTATCAGAAAATTTCAGCCATTATTTTTTCCAATATATTTCCCTACCTCTTTTTCTTCTTTCTCTGGAACTACTATTCTCTGGATATTAGGCTACTTGAAGTTATCCTACAACTTGTTCATGCTTCATTCTTTTTTTTTAATTTTTAATTTTTGTGTGTACATAGTAGGTGTATATATTTATGGGGCACATGCGATATTTTTATATAGGCATCCGGTGCATAATAATCACATCAGAGTAAATGGGATATCCATCACCTCAAGCATTTACCTTTTTGTTACAATTAATTATACCCTTTCAGTTATTTTAAAATGTACAATAAATTACTGACTATAGTCACCTTGTTATGCTATCAAATATTAGATCTTATTCGTTCTAACTAACTATATTTTTATTATATTTCTTTTCAATTTTTTTCTGTTTCACTTTGGATAGTTTCTATTACTTTGTCTTCAAGTTTGCTAATCTTTTCTTTTGCAGTGTCTAATGTGTTGTTAATCCATCCAGGGCCTCTTTCTTCACGGACGTTGTATTTTTCATCTCTATAAGTTAGAATTGAGTTTTTAAAATTTTGTATGGCTCTCCTTAACTTGTTCATGCTTTGCATTATCTTCAGGAACATAAAACATATACAGTGGTTTCACTTCCTTGGTTTTAGTTACCCACAACTAACCACAGTCCAAAAATAGGTAAGTATGGTACCATAAGATATTTTCACATGCCTTTTATCACAGCATATTGTTATAATTATTCTATTGTATTATTAGTTATTGTTTATCTCTTACTATGCTCCATTTAGAAATTAAACATTATCATAGAAATGTACATATAGGAAAAAATTTATATAGGGTTCGGTACTATCCTTGGTTTCAGACATCTACTGAGGGTCTTGGAATGTGTCCCCCACAGATAAAAAGGGATTGCTGTAATAACTGTTTTAATGTTCATGTTTGTTAATTATGTTATCTGTGCCATTTCCAGGCCTGTTTCTATTGACTGATTTTTTTTTTTCTTACCGTAGGTTATATTTTTCTGCTTTACATGCTGGTAACTTTTGACTGAATGCCAGTTATTGCAAATTTTATCGTGTTGGGTGCTGAATATTTTTGTATTTTTTTAAATGTTTTGAGTTTTGTTCAGGAATGCAGTTACATTACTTAGAAACAGTATGATACTTTTACAGCTGTTTTATGCTTTGATGGGCAGCTATTCTAGAGCAGAGTTTTCCTCACAACCAAGGCAATCCCCTTCTGAATATATTACCTTATATTCTTTGTAGTATATGATGACCATATGTAAGTTTAGGTCATTGCTCTGCCTTTTCTTTTCTGGTGATTTTTACCCTGGCCTTGCTAGTTTGCTCACATATGTGTGTTGATCAATACTCAGAGAAAGACTCAAGGAATGGTCTACAGCTCTCCAGAGCCAAACTCGCTCTCTGGTGTATTCTTGCGCTCTCTCTCTCTCTCTCTCTTTTTCTCTGTGCAGCCTCTCCCAGCCCTCTCTGCATAGAATTTCTTCTCTCCAGTACTCTGAGCTGTAAATTCTGTCTGCCCTGGTGTCCCCAGATTCTCAACTCTGTGTCCTCAACTCAGGGAGACTTCCAAGCTGTTTTGGTTGCCCCACTCTACACTCTGTAAATTCTCCAGACTATAAGCGGGGGCAATCATAGAGCTCACTTCATTTGTTTGATTCACTGTCCTGGACTGCCTATAGTCCAAAGTCCAAAAACATTATTTCATGTATTTTCACTATTGCTTTTTATTTAGTTGGTGGTGTTGGTTTTGGTTTTGTTGTTGTTGTTTTTCAGTTTTTTAAGGACAGTGGCAGGATAAATCTGGTCCCTGTTATTCCATTGTAGCCAGAAGTGTAGGTCCTCCTGTAGATCTTTTAAAATGTCACCCTGTTAATGTCTAGCTTCTCTCTTACCTGTTTAGAAATCAGCCGTCAGTCTTATTGTCTCCTTGAAGTAAACTTTTTTGTTTCTCTGATTGCTTTTTACATTTTTTTCTTTTACTTTGTTTTTTGGCAGTTTTATTTTATGCCTTGATGTGGTCTTCTTTTTATATTTCTTGCTTGAATTCAGAGACCTTATTAAAGCTCTGTCTTCATCTTTTCTCAATTTTAGGACATCTTTAGTCAATATCTCTTTCTCCTCCTGAGACTTCAATTACATATATGTTAACCTTTTCACTGTGTTCCCATATTTTCTGTTCTTTTTTTCTAGCTATATGTGCAACAGTTTTGATTTTTGTTTTTGTTTTTGTGTTTTTAAGATACGGGGTGTTGCTAGGTTTCCCAAGCTGGTCTCTATCTCCTGGCCTCTAGCATTCCTCCCATCTTAGCCTCCAAAAGTGCTGGGATTACAGCCATGAGCCACTACACCTGGACAATTTTGAATTTTTTTGATTACCTGTCTTTTATTTCAGTAAGCCTGTGTTCTGCTTTGAAGGCCATCTATTGAATTCTTAACTTTAGGTTTTGAATTTTTAAATTCTACAATTTCTTTTTTTCTTTTTTGTGCATTCTGATTCTCCAGTGAAATACTCATCTTTCTAAATCGATTTTCTTCCCCCTTTGCCTCTGTTTTCCTGAACATACTGGTCATGATTACTTTAAAGTCCATGCCTATTAACTCCAATATCTGAATTACCTCTGGGTCTTTCTCTATCATCTCTCTTGTCTTTTGGCATGCCTATTAATCTTGATTGAATGTAACATAACCTGAACCTCCAGATGATTTTGTCTGCCTCCAATTGATGATTTTGTTCTCCTGCGATGACTGGATGAAACCCAGTCACCTTTATCTAGTAAAGTACTGTGTTGGCTTGAATCTGGGTTCCAGTTTGAATAAGGATCAGTTGTTTCTGGTTTGCCTCCTTTCTTGTTGCATAATTCACTAGGGCCTTCAGTGGTGAAAGTGATATCTTCACTGAGCTTTTTTAGAAATTCTCATTTTAGCTTTTTTAATCTTGCACTTAGGATATCTCAGAATTTGCCAACTAGATATGTGTGTCAGGCCCTTTAGGTCTCCAATTTTGTCACTCCAGCCCTGCAAAATTGCCTAAAGCTCTGCTAGTTTCCCTATTCCTAGAAGCAATCTTCTGCTAGGACAGAGCCCACATTATCAATTCCCTCGTCTTCACCCAGAACCAGCAAATGCCTCCAAAGGAACAGTGGTGCAGATCATCAGTTTACCTCTCTGTTGTTCTCCTTTCTGGAATCTTAGTCCCTCTGTTTGCCTTTATTGTACATCCTCTTCAACACTTCTAAACAAATACTGTTTTTTATACTTTATTCAGCTTTTCTAGTTGTTGTTGGCAGGAGGACTGGTCTATCACAAACTATTCTGTTTTGTCTCGAAGCAGAAATTCAATGAATTTTAAATTTCCTTTATTATAATTTTCATTTCTAGAAGTTATATTTTGTCTGTCTCCAAGTGCGTTTGATCATTTTTAGAGTTCCTGTAATTTTAATTTTTTTTTATTTTCTTACATGTTTTAAACATGTATTTCATACTTAATTTCTGATAATTTTGACATGTCAAGTATTTGCTGCTCTGATTTTGTTGTCTATTATTTCTGCTAGCTATCTTTATTTAAATGTTTGGTGATTCATTAATGTGAACTTCTGTCTTCTGAGAACTATTCTCTATGGAGTTTTTCAAAGCCTGGGTTAAAGGTGGGTTCCTCCACAGAGTTTTGCATTTGCTTCTGCCAGTCATTTGGAAGCATGTTGGATCACTTTAAAATCTTAATTTGACTTTTAGTAGGCCACTTAGGTAATGTTAATTTGGGTTGAA